TGTCTTCAGGCTTCTCCCTCTGTCCTGCTGCACTGGGGCAGAAATAAGAAAATATTTGATTTGTTTCAACTTTTGGCTGGATTTGGGAAAAAGTTCTTTGTGTTTCACGGGATCTCGCTATGCAGTTCAGGCTGGCCTTGAGCTCACTTTGTAGCTCAGGCTGGTCTTGAACTCACAACGATCTTCTCACCTCAGCCTCTGGTGCTGGCATTACAGGTATGAGCCACCATGTCCGGCTCATGTTTGTGACTCTTAAACACACCAATGAATGACTGATATTTAATTTTAATTTCTTTTTTTTTTATTGGTACCAGGGATCGAACTCATGACTGCGTACTTGCACGGCAGGCGCTTATGCTGCTGAGCTAAATCCCCAGCTCTAATTTTAATTTCTTAAGTGAAATAGAAAGTTCTTAAATTTTTTTATTTCTAAAAAATCTTGAGTTATTCACAGTGCTGGTTTTTTTTTTTTTTTTTTTTTTTTTTTTTTTGTGGTACTGGGGATTGAATTCAGAGCCTTGTGCATGGTAGGCAAGCACTGTACCACTGAACCACATCCCCAGCCCACAATGTTCGTTTTGGATCAACACAGATTTCCACCCAAAGCCTCCTCTCCTCTAAGCCCTTTCTGCCAGTAGCAATGGCTCTCTAGTTTGAACTGCCCCTCCCCAGTAGGGGCCGTCAGAGGTATTTGGAGACTTTAGTGACTTGAAACCCAGCTGAAGCCACCATCTGTCTGAGGCTTATCCCTGAATTGAGCCCACTGTTATCACAAGTAGCAGGTGGGATGCTGTGGCTGATGAACACCTGTGTGGTGGTGGGAGGGGTACGGGAGCCCATCAGAAGAGAATGACCAGGAAGGAAGCAGGAAGCCTGAACAGAGACAGGAAGGGCTCTAGCAATTTACAGCAACAGTGGATTGTTGACTATTCTCCATTGTCTTGAGAGTCTAGCATAAAGGATCATAAATTGCAAGACTTGAGGGTTTTATTTTGTTTTTTGTACTGGGAATTGAATTCAGGGCTTTTGCACTGTGTTAATCTCCAGCCCTTTTTATTTTTTTACATTGCTCTGGCTGGGCTTAAACTCGTGATACTCTTGCATTAACTTCTCAAAGTAAGTGAGCCTCTCTAAATATTCAAAGTGTGCATGAATACAAGAGATCTGTATATTCTGAAACAAGCCATGAGTGAGGACAGCAGTGTCACCCAGGATGGATGTGGCCATATCATTAAAACACAGGCCTCCCTGCTAGGACTCAGGGACAGGCGGTGTCAGTGGACTGGCTAAAGGGTTCCTGGCCCACTTTTTCTGGCAGGAGGAACAGTTCTTGTTCATGGATAATTTAACCATGTCCTTTAGAGTAGTTCTCTGGGTGAGTCCCTCTGTCCACTTCCCATATCACAGACCCCATCCCTTCAGCACAGAGGGATTGGCCTCTGGCAAGATGGAGGAGTCATAGAGGTACTCAGGTTCTGGTGTTTTCTGCATGGCCTGCTAGTTCAGTCCTGCTGTTTCTGTGGGTGCCAAAGGGGTATGGTCAAGTCCCAGTGCCACCCATACCAAGGTAGATGCCCCTTGGAGGGCATCTGAGAGCTTGACAACCAGCTTTCTCAACTCAGTCATCAAAGATCTGCATATCTGCTATGCAGAACTCTGGGCTGGGTACTGAGGATCCAAAAAGGCACTTCATTGAAGGAGCGTGTCCTGCAGCTGGGGAAGGAGACCCATCTGCATACTCTGACCTAAAGCGGAGAACCACAGGTACCCTAAAGAAGCAGACAGGGTGAGGGGAAAGAGAAACTCAGTCAGTTGAGGATCAGGGCAGCTGCTGCCCACCAGGTGCCCAGGAGGCAGTGAGGACGCGTGGCTGGCAGTCTAGGCAAAGGACTCAACCTGACAAGTGTGTGTACCGATGAGCAGGGGCACAGCCTACAGAATTGTGAGACCAATGATGGGAGGCTGCCCTGAGGTGTTCTCTCCCACAGAAATGCAGAGTGGTAAGTGGCCTCAGGGAAGGAGGAGCTAAGGGCCAACCCTCACTGCAGCTCAGGATTTCTGCTCAGCTGGAAGAGCTCATCTGGGGCCTCAAGCAGCTGGCATGAATACCAGTGTGTGCGTGCCTCTGTGTGTGTGTGTGTGTGTGTGTGTGTGTGCATGTGTATTCAGCTCCTTGTTAACATCCCCAAGTGTAGGGCACATGCTCAGACAGTTGTGTAACAGGTGAGTGCAGAATTGCACCATGTTCTAGGTGGGTCAGACTTTTCTAGGCCAGTGTCCCGCCCGATGACAGGGCAGCTTTATGAGTCACCTGGCTGCTTCTGCACTGGGAGGTCCCAGCACATGTCCTGCCAGGGGCATGTCCTGGAGCAGCCGAATACATTGGAAATGGCATCTTGATCAGAGGGTCTTTGGGTGCCAAGGGGTCACAGGAGGTCAGAGCCTTTGGTTAACAGTCATGGAGCCCAGCTTGCACTCTCCCTGGATGTGCCCTGGAAGGTGGAGTCAGCATGTGGCTTGGTGCCCTTAGGGTGTCTCCGTGGTCCATTCCTGAGGTGAGAAAGAGTCTTGAGGCTCCCCACCCTGCTAGTTAGTGTCAGAATGACTGCATACAAGTATATCTGGGCTCTAGCCACTCCTGTGATATTTAAAGCCAATACTGTATTGGTGTGATTCTGGGAGGATGTGATGTTATTAAAGTTACCAGTCCTGTATTAAATTCGGATTTAATACAGGAGAGATGGGCATATTTGGGTTTACTTAGAATCTCATGACAGGGTTGTGGATAAACAGAAAGCCAACAATGAGGAGAAACTTCGGTTCAAAAAGCAGCACAGTTTTGTGGGGTCAGTGCCCTTGATGTTAAGGGCCCTGATGTTAAGAATGCAAGCCTGGGAGGTGGTAGCTAGGTGACACCATTTGTCTGTTTGCAAAGGTGTAGCCAGATCTGAGGGTCTCATTGCTGGAGCCCTTCCCTCTTTGAGTTCAGCTGTACTTTCTCCCTGACCAGGAGAGTTTGGTGATTAATTTTTATCCTGGCATCCCCTGATATCTACTGGTGAAGGTGGCTAGGTATGTGGGGGACCTTTCTTGCACAGCTTGGCTGATTTTCCACCTCAGTGTAAATGAGGTGGGATGGGAGGGAGGGTACATGCTGTGCTGTTGCCCTGTGCTCTGTACAAGGTGGCAGGCTGTGAGGATGCTGGTTCTCAGTGGGCCTGTGCATCAGAATTATCTGGGTGATGTTTTAAATGATGGCAGAGCCCTTCTTTCTCATGACACACACTTGTGTGTATATGGCCAAACTATAGTCAAGAAAAAAAGCACCTGACCTTGATGGGCCTGAGCACATTGCTTACCTGCCCGAGGTGTGCTTTGAAGAGCAGGAAACCACTGAGCTTAGTACACCTTCCAGAATAGCCCAGGAAAGTGGCCTGTGGGTTTTGGTCATTCATGCAGGACAGACAAGCAACATCTACAGAGGGTCACAGATTGGTAGCCCAGTCCCAGGTCCTCATTTTAGAGGCCAGTTAAGGGTGTGGACTTCAACAAAGCCATTGAAAAAGCATAGCTGGGCCTGGAGACCATGTTCTGACTTGTGGCTGAGATCTTTTCCTGAGAAAAGCTATTTTCAGGAATTCCAGCAGCATGAGGTGTGTCCAGGCAAACAGTAGAACCCTCCTGTATTTAGGAGATCTCCCTTAACTACTGGGGAGACAGTTCTTATTCTGTGTCTGCCATAGGCAGTGAGGAGACAGCCAGGGTTCAAGGGCACAAAGACTCAGCTCTAAGAACACCCAGTTTTATCCCAAGATAGCTTACTTTTGAGAAAGTCAAATTTTCTTTCATGGGAAGTCTGGTGGAGGAGTCCTTTCAGCAGCTACAGAGACCATGGATCCCATGTCCCTCTGTGTGTGTGTGTGTGTGCACACATGTGCGCACACACACATGTGCATGGGTATGCACACATATGTGCCTTTTTGTTGTTAGCCTCTAAGTGCAGAAAGCATCTCAGTACTGCTTATTAACATGGACTTCATGTGATCCTACTGGTATCTGGTAAGAGAATTATTCTGCATCAGCCATGGCATTGAGATAAGGAAAGAAGGACCCGAGTTTGGTGGGTCAGGAGGCAGGTGTCCTACATCTTGATGAGTTTCTTCCCCTTGTCACACAGAACAGGGCCTGCGGCATCCCTGGGGGCTTGTTGGAAGCACAGCCACATTGTATCAGCTTCTGAGGCACAATCCACAAACTGAATGGGATCTCAGTGGCTCTCATACACATGAAAGGTTAGGACACACTGGGCTCCTTGCATCTCCAGACAGCTAAGCCTTCTCTGTTGGGGACTGAGTGTGCCCTTTCTCCTGGAATGGGTGTAAGGAGGGGAGGAACTTGAAGGCAGACAAGCGTGTGTCTTTTGCAAGTGTTCTTGTTCTGTCACCACTTGCTTTTGCATCACCAGCAGTTTCCTGGAGAAAGTGTAGGGCCGTGTCCTACTGTCCTAGGCTTCTTCAGAGTAATGCAGCTGCTTTGGGGTGGGGCCCGCCGCCACTGTGGGATGACTGCACTGCTCTGGGAGAGGAGCCTGCCCTCTGACATTTTACCATAAGCCAGGCTCAGCAGGTCACAAGTGGAAGAGATAAGGGGCAGCTTGTTCCCTGACTGGTGAGCTGCAGTCATAGGAAGGGGCCAGAGAATGAGTGTGCATTACTTGATCCTAACATAATGGTAAAGAAAGCAGATGTGAGCCATCTCCATACCTGATCCTGGGGAAAGGACACATGTGTGTCTTGGCAGCAACATGGCAGGCAAGCTGGGACCATAGAATATTCCGGAGCATTGTAGCAGACTCAGCAGGCAGGTGTGACCCTCCCTGGACACAGGTAGCTGATAATGCTATGCACTGCTCACAGTGCAGGCAGACAGCTGGCTGGGTGCTGGAGTAAAACTAGACTCCAGTGCTGATTTCTCACTTTTATCTCCTCCCTTCCCTCTAGGTTGGCCTCCGCCAGCTGGATATGTCCTTGCTCTGTCAGCTTTATAGCCTCTATGAGTCCATCCAGGAGTACAAGGGGGCATGCCAGGCTGCTTCCAGCCCTGACTGCCCTTATGCACTGGAGAACGGTTTCTTTGATGAAGAGGAGGAAGAGGACTTCCGGGAGCAAGCCTCCCTCCATGAAGGCAGGACCCGAGGCCCTCCTGGAGACTTCTTGCTGCCTGTCTCTCCCCTCTCCAGCAGCGACTGGATTCTGGAATCTATCTAGGGCCTTGGAGCAGTTGTGGGGGTGGGTTTAAACTGGATCCTGTTAGCATCAGCTTCATCTCCTGCAAGAAAGTGTTCTTCCCTCGAAGTGGACAGTCAATGGCACCCGAGATGCATACCACCAGTTTATTTTGTGGGTAGGGAGTTTGTTGACACACCATGGCAGTCTGCTAGTGTCTAATTGGGTTACAGAAAGATACTGAGAATGTCCTTGGCTTGCTTGTGTGAGGCACACTACTGGGGATTCACAGCAAGACTGTAACAAGGGGTGCGGTAGGAGGCTAAGCTACAGCCCCCTTGAGGTGATGTTTAGCTGGTCACTTCCAAGTCTTCATCTTAATGTTACTGTCACCTTCTTCAGTGTAGCCTGCAGCTTCCCTTACTGCTTCAAGAGACTTTCAGCCTCTTTGCCAAGCCTTATTTATTATGAGCTATGTCCTAACTGTCCAAGTGACTTACAAGATCTTTCTACTAAAAAAGCAAACACTGCCACACAAGTAAGCTGCCTTTTCTCAGCCTGCCCACTGCCCCTTTATTAGGTAGAGGAATAAGGGAGGTAATACAGAGGTCTGCTGAGTGGGGAAAACCCAAATCAGAACAAGCTAAAGTTTTGTATCATTCACTGTAAGACAGCAGACATTTCTGTTCCTAAAGACTCTGAATGTAAACTAGCATGTTAGAAAGCAAACCATACCCTCCACTGAAAACAGTGAATACCTTATGCCTTAATATATTTATTAAAGTACTTCATGAAAACTTTATACTTTATAGATTAAACATGAGGATAAAATGATAAACTCTTTCTGTTGTCCTGTATTTTGTTCTCAAATCAGAATCGTCAGCTTTTATAACCCGAATGTGAGTCCAATCACATATTGAATGTAGGATTTTTTCTCATTAAATAAGTCTGAAAGTAAATTTATTCCTCTGCTCAATTTGAGTGATCATGTATCAGTGGTGGAGCAGTACTAACAGCTAGGCCTCTGTGGACTCCAGGCCTCTTCTTGCCTCTGTGTTAACTGCTCACCAGCACTTCCTTTAGGCTGCACAGCCAAAGCACAACAGCCCAAGCCAAGTGTTTTGTCTGCCACTGTCAAGCACTGAGACCAGGAGAAGGCAGAATACTCCTTTCCTCTGTGGATAGTAGTTACAGTGAAGGGTGTTAGTAAGTGACTTCAGCCTGTGACATAACTTTCAAGAGGAACAAGAAGCATTCAGTCTGGTCACCTGCTGGTCCCTGGTTCTTTGAGGCTGGGCCCTGTTGAGCAACGAATTGAACTTCAGGTCTGCTTTTCTCCATCCTGACTACCATGAAGGTCCCTTGGGGAGCTTTTGGAAAACTGATGTCTGGGCTTCAGCAGCACCTTTCCCCCCCAGATCCAGATTGAATTAGGAGGTAACAACTGGGTGTCTGCTTTGGTGCTGGGGAGAAAGCTGGAGAGGGAGCCCAAGCATGCTTTGCAGGGAGGACACCTGTTCTGGTACACAGACGCATGACTCATTTACTGTGAATGGATTCCTCTTGTCTGTGTACCACCTTAGCTTCCAAAACTTAAGGCTGCATTATACGAATTCACACAGTAACATGCCAATTTTTTTAAAACGTGGGTTTAGAAGTTTGCAAAACGACTAGAGGGCAGGACAAACAAGGCAAAGCATTAAAAAAAACTCAAATAAAAACCCCAGAGGTACATTGGCACAAGTGCCACGCTGTGAGAAAGATATATAGCCCTACTTATTTAAAAATATATAGGAGTCTGACCTTGAATTTAAATCAGAGCCCGTAGATGGAAAAGCGATCAGTTCTAGAGCAGGGGCATGTAGTGTTTCTCTGTTAAGTGTGTTCTCACAAGACAACTGGAAAGAGATGGAAGAGCACACTTTAAATGCTGCAAGGGAATCTTCAGAGTTACATCCACCTGCTTCCTGAACAGTACAGAGCTTGATGTCTGCTTTTCTGCCCTTGAGGTCATAGGTATGAGGCTCCACTCAACACAAGAGTCCTGTACAAATTTGGGAGGGAGTGCGGGTGGGCAGGACTTCTATATGATCTTATGGCAGGCTGAAAAATGCTCTAAGTGATCTGGTCCAACAAAGCAAAACAAAACCCCCTCTGGAAGTTGTAAATAGGACTTTACTTGATAAAAGGACCTTTGGAAAGGTGATTAATGATCTTAACATGGAGTGACATCTGGATTATCTGGGTGGCCTGGCTATAGATGCTATCAGTGGTGTCTTTTAAAGACAGGAACAAGGATAGGTGACACATTGGGGGAGGAGTGTGAAAAAGAGGGACTGGAGAAGCACAGGGGTGACAGCAACCACTGCATGCTGGAAGAGATGTGCAATTCTTTCATAGTGCCCCCCAGGGAGCATGCCCCTGCTGATGCTCAATGAAACTGATTTTAGACATCTTGCTCTCTAAACTGATGCGGAGGAAAGAATACTGTGAATTACTTCCTTCTATAGTTTCTTCCCTGGAAGATAAAAACTATTTAGATCTGGTTCTATTAATTGTGCTCCTCATTCACCTAAAATTTTTTAAAAAATCTATTCCCAGTGCTATATCTGAGGGAGTTTAAGTTACTCTCTTTCTCAAGAAAGACAGACTCCAGAGATCCACCATTAAACTAGTAGCACAGGCAAACAGATCAGGTTCCTTTTGCAAGACAGGAACAGAGACCAAGATGGGCCCCATTCTGTGACCTTTAGAAAAATCCCTTTACGAATCTAAGGGTAGGATTTTTTAAAATGTTAAATTTTCTAATTAATGCTGTCTTGTAAATATCTAAAAATATCCTTCCCTTGGCTCATACTTACACCATGATGTTTTCTTCCCAGTTTGGTTCAAAGGGCTTCAAACATTGGTAGAAAATACTTTAACAAAAGACCACTTGTGTCTCATGTCCCTGATCAGACCATGGCACTGTCATAAACTGTGTACTTCCCCCTCTGGGGCTAGGCCACACCACACTCCCAAGAGCCAGAGCTCTGTGCAGGCCTGAGATGACTGATGTGTGAACTGGTTCCAGCAGAGGTTTTCCAGGATAGCTGCAGTTCATATTTCCTTTGGTGAAACTAGGATAACTAAAGATGACTTTGTTTTGTTATCTTCAAGTGGATTTTCATATACATTTTTGTTAAGCCACATCTCAGTTTTTAGGGGCGGAGCTTGGGAAACATGTCATTCTATGACACCAAATACTATCAACACCAGACCTTTCCAGCATATTTAGCTGGGCAGCTCTGTCTGGCCTCTAGAATGGTATTGTTACTGGGCAGCTTGTTTCTAAAAGTGGCTCACCAACTAAATGTCACCAGGCTCAGGTTGCTCACTTCTCCTTCTGGAGTTAGATTTCAGGTTCTTCTCATCTTGAACAAAGAATTGGATGAACTGTGAGCAAAAGGAAGTGGCCGTTTATTTGAGAAAGTGAAAGTGAAGGGTGGGAGAGAAACTGGTTCTGTAGAGCAAGCTTGAACCATGTAGAGAAAAAGCGTTAAGAGCAAAAAATACACACTGCCTCTGAGAACAGCAGGCTACCCTAGAAAGTTAGGAAGCACTGGGTTCCTCGTGGCTGCCTTTCTTTTATGTATTCCAATCTAGAGGTAACCCAGAACTTCATCTGGGTCCGGAGAGGTGGTTCTGAGCCTACATCTCAGGCTGATGTAAGGTCTAGGCCATGCTTTTGAAAACCTGCTGGAGTTCTCAGAGAAGCCCACAAACAGGGCTTTGGGAACTGTTCTGCTCATGTCCAGGGGATCATGCCTACTTCTCCAGCCAGCTGCTGCCACACTCTGATCTCCTCAGTATGGAAAATGAACTTTAACAAGAAGTTAGGGAAAAATGATGTACTATAAAATCTAGGGGTGGATACATGTACCTCACTACAGTATTCTTTCCCCTTTTCTTTAAAATGTTTCCTAGAATGTGCTGAAAGTTACTGAGTGCTGCTAGCCGGCAGTGTGGAGGTGAGATGAACACAGGCTTGGGTGTGGACCCGCTGCCGAGAGCAGGCAGCCTTGGACTTGAGTCCCACCCTCTCCTCACTTCAGGAGTGATGTGATCGGTATCTGAGTATCTGATGGATGGGTCTCTGTGCACACTATGGGTCTGGGTCAGCCTGCTTCCCTTATGTTGCTACTGCTGACACCAAGGACAACTTGTTTCTTCTTGAAGATTAATACCTTTGTGGGAATCAACAAAGACTATGGAGCTTCTGTTGTTGTTTGTTGATAGGGTCTACGTTCAAGCAGGCCTCAAATTTGCAAGGATCCTCCTGCCTCAGCCTGAGTACTGGGATTAGAGATGTGCATGTGTTGAATATTGCTTGGTAAATTGGGTAGCTTGTTTCTAAGATGCAGTTAGCTTCACTTACCTCAATTAAAAGGACTGGGAAACTTGCAACTATGTGTTACATCTTTGCTGGGTTTTCAGGATGCTGAGTCCCAGCCTGGGGCTTTTTTTTTTTTTAACAGTACCGGGGATCGAACTCACGACCACGCACTTGCAAGGCAGGCGCTTATGCCGCTGAGCTAAATCCCTAGCCCCCTGGCACTTGTTTTTAATCAACCTTTCCCTCTTGGTGGCCTGCCTTCCTCTCTCCTGGGCACTGAAGCCAACAGGCCTTTCCATCCTGCAGCTATTCTGAGACGTTACCCCAAATGTATTTTTTTTCCCTAAACTTGGATACTTCCTTTTGACTATTTAAATCAGTCTCATTACCCTTGGGTTCATATCTTTTCAAACCCCATCACCTCTGTATTCCTTGTCCCACACCTACTCTGACGCCTACTCTCCGAGACTTACACTGCAAGCCCCCACTTCAGGGGGCTTTTTCCAGCACAGATGACAGGCACTGTGATGCTCTACCCGAACTTCTGAACACATCATTGCCCAGTGAATCTCAAAGGGCCAAGTCACTTTTTTGAGACAGTCTTACTATAATTCAGGCTGGCCCTGGACTCACGATGATCCTCCTGCCTCAGCCTCCTAAATACCAGAAACACAGGGCTTTGCCACCATGCCCAGCAGCAGGGGCTGAGTCTTACTCACCACTGCAAAGCAGGGTCTGACACACAGAATATGCTCACAAAACATCTAAACATCTGTGAAATGAATAAGCACATAATAAAGAAAGAACAAGTGAAATAGGGAGAAGGGGAAGAAAGGTGCTATTGTATCTCTACTTTTTAATAAACACTTTATTTAAATATAATTCATCCCATACAGTGCAACAATTCGGTGGGTTTTCTTTGTATTGATTTTGGATCAGCCAATTTGAAAAAGTAAGTTACTGAATTGAAAATTTATAAAAACTTTAAGTTTATTCTGAAAAACTGTGAAAGTATTTCTATTGTTGTAAGAACACAAATCTGATTTGTAGCCAAAGAGGAACATTTAAATTTAAAAGCTATAAACTTGCCAAAGGAATAAAATTTAGATCTTTCATTACATGTGAAACACAGGTACTGCCCTGGGTGTCCACCATGTACAACTCAATGTACAACTGGGTGCGCACATTTATGTAAATGTCCCTAGTCACATTGTGTGTGTGTGTGTGTGTGTGTGTCTGCGCACACATGTGTGAATGGTGTGGCTGTTTCCAGGATGGGGGAAGGGACTGGATGTTTGTTGCATGTCATGACCTTCTTTTCCAGGAAGGCTTCCCAAGTCTCTGTTTCACTTTCCTTACCAAAAAAAGTGCTTGGTTTCTGTGACACATCTTCACTTTCAGATGCTGATGGTCATGCCTAACAGTGAAGAATAAGACTGTGGGTGAGAAGGGAGGGTCTTCAGAAAGGCACTTTCTGTTGATGATCAAGTGGAATGCCCCCAGGTGGCCCCGGTGATGGGAGACATAGTCTCGGAACACTTTTAGCCAGTTTTTTTTTTTTTTTGTCTGAGACAGGGTCTTGCTAGCTAGCCCAGGCTAGCCTCAAACTCAGTGATCCTCCTGTCTCAGTCTCCAGAGTGCTAGAATTACAGGCACATGCCACCATGCCCAGTTTTAGACACACAAGTATAAATATGAGTTAACATACAGCAGGACAAGGGGTTTGAAGTGCTTACTAAAGTTACATGGGCTTTGGTGTACACTTATAATCCTAGCACTGTGAGCTTGAGGCCAGCCTGGAATACATGGTGAGACGCTATCTCAACAAACAAAACCTCCCCAAAGACATTAGCTTATTTCCTTAACTAGACAGCCATCACGTAGAAGCACTTAAGGAAGAAGAAAATGAAATGGTCAGGCCCAGCATAGTCTAGAACGATACTGGGGAGACAGTTGCTATGTTGCCTAGACAGATGTGGCTGGAGGAGTGGGTATGGCACACAGCGTGAGGATACCTGGGCATTAGGAGAGGAGACCTGCGTGACATGTAGACAGGGCAGCACATACCCAGGGGAAACAGTGAGGGCCATAGTCTTGGAGAAAAGTAAACGCCCAGGGCAGCAGGGAGAAGTGAGTGGTGTATTGCATGAAGATGCGAGCGGTACCAATGTGGGGAGATGGCAGGCAAGGACTGCTAGATTCTCAGGCAGAAGATGAGGGGTGTGGGCTGAGGGAAAGAGGTGAGGGACATCTTGAGGGGAGACTAGCAGCAAGGACTTTGAAGGGGACACAGGACAGGAACACTGAGCTCACTTATAGACCTGCTGACCTCTGGTCACAGCAGAAGCCACCTGGAGTACGTAGAGTGAAATGGATGAATCCAGTGGCCTGGCCAAGGCAGATGGAAGCCTGAGCTCCAGGAGGGTACATAGGAGAGCAACAAGGCTGAGGACAGTCACAACACAGGCAGGACAAAACCAGGTAGAAGGGGGCGGGTGGGGGGCTTGTTTTGGTGGATTGCAAGGAAAAAGGGAACGCTGAAAGCAACTGGCAACTGGCTTCCCTGTGAGTTTTAGAATTGCAGACTTGGGCCATTCTGGGAGGAAGCACGGTGTAGAGAAGTAAGTGAAGAAATAGAGGAAGGTGGCCCAGACTGAAGAGCAACGTATGTACACTGGCAAGGTATGTGCTGAGCCCAGTGGAAGAAGAGAGTAAGTGGGCAGGAGCTTCGCTGAAGAGAGTGGAATGGCACAGACCGGATCGACAGGTATACAGGGTAGCATGGCAGACAGCACAAGCAGCCAGGAGCCAGTGACTCTGCGGTCCCTGAGGTAGGTCAAGGATACAACAAATCCCCTCTGCCCCCTGCTCTTCTGTGCTGTGCGCACCCCAGGATCCTGTGTCATTGTATGAAAGGAAGGGAACCTCAAGGTCAGAAAGAGCCCCAGTGAGGTAGTGAGCAGGAGAGGGGAAGGGCAGAGGTGGGGAGTCTCAGGAGGCGGCGCAGTGATAAGGAGCACAGACTCTGCACTGAAGGGCACTGTGAAGATGGAGAACAGCAGCCAGAGGTCCAGCGAGGGCTTGTGCCTGGCAGAGATGCTGCCTCCAGAAACTCGGGTGATACAGCCATAGGGCGGAAGGCAGAAAGCCGGTGGGTTTCAAGGGTTTAACAGAACAGCTCAAGAGCCATTTACAAGGTCCAGGTATGGTTAAAAAGAGGCAAAGCTGGTCAGAAGGAAAGAAAGTTGGAGGTTCAGGGCAGTAGAGGTCAGAAAGGCAGCAAAAAAGCAGGGGTGGTGTGAAGGGAGCCAAATGGCCAGAAAAAGCAGGACATGGAGTCAGATTTTAGTAGGGGAGGGCTAGGTTGGAGGCATTAGATTGAGGACAGGACCCCTGAAGCAACAAAAATGGGGATGCGGCTGTCACTGAGGCTAACAAATGGAACTCAAGTAAAGAACCTGGGAACTACACAATCAGTCCACAGGCAATGGGCGTCTTCCGGGCACACATTTGTTTCCAGTGCTCCTGTCTAAGCTGAGAAGGACCTGTCTAAGCTGAGAAGGACCTGAGTCGGAGCACATGGGCCTGGATGCTCTGGTACCTTCAGAAGTCCTGCTCCCTATAGAAGGCACAGTCGCTGCCAACATCCCACTCCATCCTCTGGAAGAAGAAGACCATGCAGCTTTCCAGCAGTAAGCCACTCAGGATGGCCAACAAGGACAGCATGCGGCTGATGTTTAGAGTCACTAGAAAAGAAAAAGCAGTCAATATGCTCATAAGAACTTGATTAAGTCTGATGATGTATGCTTGTAATTTCAACATTTGGGGAGCTGAGGCAGAAGAATCATAAGTTTGACCCCAACATGGGTAATTAGTATGACCATTTAAAAAAAAGAGGAAAAAAAAGTCAATTAAGTCCACTTTGGGGGAAGCACACTTTCCTAGCATGTGTGAGACCTGTGATTCAATTCCTAATACCATAAAAACTCATAACAGGACAAGGGATGTTGTCTGGTGGCATTTGCCTAGCATGTTTAAGGCCCTGGGTTCAATTTCCAGTACTGTCTCAAAAAATAAAACACAAAACAAAACAATGATAGTGGCATGTAAGCTATGTGTGAACTGTCTTGTAAAGTTGCGTTTTAGGGAATCTGCACTCTTACTACTAATCTACGTGTGGCCTGCTCCACACTTCCACCTGCAGACCTCTGAGAAACCAGTCTTTGTGTGAGACACAAGCCTGGAACTTCTCCTGGAATCAAGAAGTAGGATCCTGTTGACACAAAGAGCAAGCCAGTCATGATTGTGCAAGCCCATAACCCCAGCACTTGGGAGGCTGAGACAGGAAGATGGACAAGAGTTTAAGGTCAGCCTGATCTACATGGCAACATTCTGTCTCAAAACCAAACCAAAACAAATCAAATCAAATCAAACCAACCCAACCCCACCTAAGAGGAATATAAAAAAGTGGATTCTAAAGTTACAAATAGAAATAAATAAATCAATAAAGTTACAAATAGAGTAACATGAAAGTGCTACTACTGTAGTGTCATTTGCAAGATGATAAGCATATGATAAAAATTATCAGATAAGAGGTTCGTTCAAAATAGTACTTCTCACAGTGCACAGGAAAATGAAGACATCTCCTGGCAGAGTAGACACTGTCCTGGTATGGGAGGTGGCACCTGGCACCCTCTCCTGGCCTGACAACTGCCCAGCCCAGAACACTGGACAACCTACCCATCCTCATGGTCCACAAGCTGATTCATGAAGTAAAGATAACAATGACTGCACTAACCTCACTAAACAGAGAAGGCAGATAAAAACATGCTGAAAGCTGTCAAGTACTATGTAGTTAAATTAACAAACACTAGGCCCTGCCATGGTTAGGTACCATGATGTGCCAAGGAAATAGTATTCTGTGCAGAACTCCAGTACTCAGCAGGTCATGTAAAACTTTCTCAGAACTATGGGTGGAGGCTTCCATGTAGGTTAAGGCAGTGAAGGCACAGTGAAAACGGACCCCTACCTCTGATTGCTTGGAAATTTGAGGTCAGCACAAATACTTTGATGAGCCTGAGGCACAGAATTGTGTAGTCATGCTCCCAGATGACAGCTGGTATCAGCAGAAGCTTTCCATAGCTTGATAATAGTAATGCCTTCAGCAGCAAGATGAAGTGGGGCTTTTTTTTGGCTGTCATGAGTCGTTTTATCCACAGAAAAGTAAAAATGCCGGCAAAAAAGGCACTTTGTTCTAAGGAGGCAATGAAAAATAAAAATCTGTTGATCTCCATACAAAAGATATTCCCCCTAAAAACAAACCTCAATTCCAAAGCACAACTTAGCTGATTTCATAAGAAATGCTTAGCAGTATTAGATTTTCTTGTTTTTGAAAATCAAACCCAGCCTTTGTGTAAATCCTGCTGGTATGATTTAAGAAACATTTCAAAATTCTTTTATGAAGTTTTTTGTCACCCACTGAAAAAGCAACTCCATCAGAACCGCAATCACTGCCTTGCTGAAGTGTGTGCCAGCCTCGTGAAAATGAAGCAGGAGGGTGGAAGCAGCCAGCTCTGGATGATGGGACCACCTGGGAATGGTGCTGCTCACGCAGGCACTTTTCACTATTGTCTGAATATTTATTATCTATAAGATGTTGAGTACTGTTAATTAAGGTAAAAAAAAAACTTTCCCTTATTTGTTGTTTTTTTTTTGAGATAGGGTCTCACTGTGTAGTTCAGGCTGACCTTGATCTACACTATGTAGCCTGCTGGCCTCAAACTCGCTGTGATCCTCCTGCCTCAGCAGGCGGGTGCCATAGCTTTGAGTGCAACTCCTTATGTTTCTCAAAAAGTTAAGAGTACAGGTTAGACGAAGCCCATTTGTCCTGCTGTCCAGCAGTTAGGACACAGCAATGTGTTCAGCTCCTGTCAAGGAGCAATTTGTGCTACTGTTTTCGTTAGGACTGCTACTCCTCCGGCTGGCCACCTGCCTGCACTAAGGGGTCTGTCCTTCATTCTTTCCCTACAAGCTTTGGTACACATCATTCTGGGATATCCAGCACCAAGTTTTTCTGGAACACATTTATCATACTGTCACAGAAACAACTGCTCTCCTTTTTACATGGTTTTAAACTTAACATGGCCAAACTAAAGAGGTTCCAAATACGGATGGCTAGGATCACTAATTTAGGATGACGACCCCCTGAGAAATGGTGCACCATCTTCTGGGGAACTATGCTGTCTCGGTTTAAAATAACTGAAGGACTTGTCATCTGTGTGACTCTACTCACACAGGTTGATGGCAGAGCTTGCATTCAGGATTGGGCCAGGGATATAGCTCAGTGGCACAGTGCCTGCCTGACAAGTGTGAAGTTGTGTTTGATTTCTGGTAGAAAAAAAAAGAAGGATCAATACAGTTAAAAAACAAAATAAAACTCTCTAACAGCAGGAACTACCTAACAAAGGATGAGTTGCTCTATCACTGGACATGGCCAGATGGCCAGATGTGTCAGAAATCTCAAGGAAAGGCCTTTTTGCTCCAGGTAGAAGGTGGATGGTCTAGTTCTAGTTTAACAGTCTTAAGAGTCTGGATGGGTTTTACCAGCCCTCAGGGTCTGCACGTTCCTCTTCTTCAGACCTCAGGGAGCCTCTATCCCTCAGGCTTCTGTGGATAACGGGATGCCTGACAGACACTGCGCTGCAGACACAGGTGGGTAGGAACAGGGAAACTTCTCCTGGCCTGTGCAGAGACACTGACCCCCATATCTCAGGGAAATCGATCATTTATTCTTTTCTAAGTCTGTTTCCATATTATTAGATGGGCAAAACCCCGAATCTATCTACCTCAGAGGATAGCTATGAAAATTAAATTAGGTAATACTTGTACATGTAGATCCTACAAAATGCTATATTTATGTAAGATATTCTTAATAAACCTCTTTTAGGCTTTACACTCTAATTAGGGATTAGATCAAGACACATAAAAAAGCAAAGGAAGTTAAAGACATTTCTGTTTATAAACCAAAATATCCACTATGGAGTAGTAGTTAAAAAATTTCAAGCTATATGAAAACAAGTCCTTTTTGTTGTTATTGGTTTTTGTTTGTTTTTTTGAGATGGAGTCTTGGTATGTACTTCAGGTTGACCCTGAACTCACGACATAGCCCAAGCTGGCCTCTAACTTGCAGCAATCCTCCTACCTCAGCTTCCTAAGTGCCAGCATTACAAATGCGTGCCACAACACCTGTCTTTTTTTTATATAGTGTGAAAACAAAAGGCTTTAAGTGAGGAAGATCACTGTGAGTTTGAGGTCAGCCTGAACTATACGGTGAGACCTTGTCTCAACAAAACAGAACAAAACAAAACAGATATATGTGTATGTATGTAAATATACAGTGGGGGGAGCAACTTACCTTTAGAAATTTTATAAGGTTTTACTTTAAAGTTTAACTATGCTCCTGGGTTAGGAGATATGCTCACGGTATATTTAACACTACTATAAGATGTAAATGTTTATATTCTGTATATTTCAAATATTACTAACAGATAATAAAAAAATTCACATTAAGTGTTTTTAAATCTCAGCAAAGTCCAAATTCTATCCAAAATTATTGGTAAGAGCCAGGAACAGTGGTACATGCCTACAAAGCTGCCTGCTGGGAAGGATGAGGCAGCAAAAGCATTTTAAGTTTGAAGCCAGCTATGTAGCCAGAACCTGTGTTAAAACAACAAATAACCCCCAAAATTACTGATGGAATGGACATCACTGTCATTACATTGTCATAAATCATGACAAGTTTCTAACTATAAGCTCCCAGAGGTGAAGCGTTTTGTATTTTTCATGCACATGTCTGTCCAGTGCCTGAAGGAGTGAAGGTTTTTAAGTATTTAGCACATAATTCTTAAGTATATGAATAATAGTGAATGAACAACCAGAGTCTGATGGTGACTTTATCAAGTTAGAATGCATACATATATATATATATATATATATGCAATCATTAAGTCAACTACACAAATATTTATTCAGACCAGGTACTTTACTAAGGGCTTGAGCTATACAGTGACCAACACAAAGAGTCTTGCTCTCATTCTGTTTAGTGGAGAAGGCAAATCATAAAGTACAGTTAACAGCAGCTTCTGTGAGAAGCACCTTAATACAAGGTAGTGAGGTAGGGAGGGTCAGAGCATGATTTACTGAAGTGATGTTTCAGCCCTGAGGGATGCCAGGGAGCAGACGTGTGGACATTAAGGGCACACTCCCTAGCAGACGGAGCAGCCAGCTTAGAGGCCCAAAGGAAGAGGCTCACCCAGTGTGTCTGAAGCAAGCTTCCTGGAGTGGTTGGGTCAAGATGGGCCAGAGAGACAGAGGCAATAACTAAAATAACAGATGTTCCAGGAGAGGCAGTGCATGGAAAACCTGTGTGCTCAGTCCATGGGCTTTAGCTTCACTCAGTGAAATGGGAACTACTATGTCCCAGCAGTAAGTAGCTGATTGGAAAGGGGCTTCTCAATATGAAGAATAGACTTCGGCTAAAAACAATGAGGTGACTGTGCTGCTCTAGTTTGTATCAGGGGAGTAGCAGTGTGGTGTGAAAATACTTGCTGAGGGTCTGTTATTAGAGATGACTCCAAGGCTTCCTGGGAAGCAACTGAAACAATGGAGGTACCTGTAACTGGGGTGGGCAAGGCTCTGGGCAGAGGCGACAGGAGAAGCTGGGTTTTGGAGATTTATTGGCTGGCCACGTGGAGCTGCTGAGGAAGTAGTTGGACACAGGGTCTAGAGGTCAGGAGAAAGGTCTGGATTAGAGATAAGACATCTGGAGTTCTGAGCAGATGGATAAGACGACCGAGGGAGTGAGGATAGAATATAGGACAACAGATGCGTGCTCCAGAAGTATGACACTGGCATGGATTGGAGACTCAATATTACAAAACAATATTTCATTATAATTAAAAGTCTTAGCTGGGTAATCAGAATTTACATTCACCTAGTAGGTAGCATGTTAATGGTTTACTATTTCCCCTTGCCCATAACTAACAGCATGTGCCAAACGGGGCATGGCGGCACACCTCCTATAGTTCCAAAACTTGGGAGACTGAGGCAGGAAGCTTACAGCGAATTCAAGGCTTATCAGGCTACAAAGTGAGTTAAATGCCAACCTGAGCGACATAGTAAAACCCTGTTTCAAAAAAGTCAAAAATTAAAAAATAAAAAAGAGCATCTGTCTTAGCTGTCATCAAATAGTTAAGTTCTGTTTAAGAATGGAAAGCAAGGTATCTCCTTACCTAGAGAAGCAATTGCAAACATTCTGTAAAAATCCCACTCCTTGGCATATCTAATCAAGTCATCCGGGGCAATATTCTGGTTTGAGTCCTGAAGCTGCCACCATCTCAGATATGCTTCACAAAGCAAACAAAACATGCAGAGTTTTCCATGGATCTGACAGTCAGAAGACATTGTTACTTAGTCAGGGAAAGAAGCTGTACTTAGTATCAAAGGACACAGCTGCAGGTAAGTGCAGTTTTGAGGAACATCTCAGCTTGTAAGATTTAACCTCCTACAGTACAACCGAGTGATTCACAATGTGGAGTGAAGTTTGACAATCAATGCTTTGTGATTTAAAACATACCCTGGTTATTTCACTTGAGGGGCAGGCTGGGGATAAATAAACTTACCTCAAATTTAGAATTGCAAATAACACAGAACACCCAGTAAATTTAGTTTCTGATACACAATAAACAATTTATTGTAAATATATTTCATGCCGTATTTCAGACAAGCTAAAAATTTTCATTGTTTATCTGATTTTCAAATTTAACTGGATATCCTGTATTATATCTGTCAATCGTGCCAAACTTAGGAGTTTACAATTCAACCACTAACTATATACTTTTAAAATGGCAACTTTTATTTTTTTTATTGTTTTTGTCTTTTTCGGTACCAGGGATCGAACTCACGACTGCCTGCTTGCAAGGCAGGTGCTTATGCCACTGAGCTAAATCCCCAGGCCCTAATGGTGACTTTTAAAATTAGGACTTTTCTGATTAAATTCAATGTTGTTATTTACCTCACAAATTCCCTAACACTACAGTGTAGAATGCAGTAAATTATGTTTAATGTTTTTAAATGTTTCTTAATGTCTCTTTACTTCTTTTAGGTGTAATTTTCTCCTTACCCAGATATATTCAATTTTGTTCTGTTCAGAATTAGTAAGTCTGTTTTAATATATAACACCCTAAAGGAAATGCAGATTATAGCTGCCAGTTTCCTAACACATCTTTTAAAATCTATACCACAGGAGGCTGAAGCAGGAGGATTGCTATGAGTTTGAGGCCAGCCTGAGCTACACTGAGTTAAAGGCCAATCTGAACTACATAGCAAGATCCTGTCTCAATAAACAAACAAAATGAAATACACACAAAATCCGCATCTGCTATTCTAGAAACTTCCAGACATGTTCAAAGAAAAAACCTACCTTTTAACTATTATTATTATAGGGGGAGGGTACTGGGGATTGAGCTCACAACCCCACACTTGCCAGGCAGGCACTTATGCCACTAAGCTAAATCCCCACTCCCACCTACTAATTAGAAGTTTTCTTTTTCTTTTTTTTAAGATAGTGTTATGTTGTTCAAGCTGGCCTTGAATTCACGTCGATCCTCTAGCCTCTGCCTCCCAAGTACTGGGATTCCAGGCATGCCATCTCTGGTTAGAATATTTATTTTTATATTTTTAAATTCTGTTGAAATTCTGTTATTCTTATAAAATGCACGTGCACTACTTAGTAACATTAAAAAGTTTTAAATTACCATAACTTACATTTATTTTAGTATTGAAAAGAATATGCCTGTAGACCTGGGCTTTGCATAAAATAGCATTAATCAAGATGATAACAGGATCATACTCAATATACTTGTCTACAACTTTCTGGCAGGATTTCTGAAACAACATAAGATAGTATTAGAATGAGCAAATTAGTACAATCTGAAATCTTGAACTTCAGAATACTACTCTACTCAGACAGCAAACAAGGCCAAATCAACCCTTAAGTAAACTCCCCCTAGGTACAAAATGTTCACCATGTAAGAAGTAGTTTCCCAAGTGTCTAGGCTAGAAATATTAATATTTTCCCTCTTATTTGGGAAGCTAAAAAGATACTTGATTTAAAGACTTAATTCCAAGCAGAAAAGCATCCCAGGAGAGTTAATTTTTAATATCTGAGAACTGTTATGAATGAATCTATAATATACTTTTTTGGCTAATTATCTGTTGCCTGTTAGCAATATGGTCCCCACATTGTTGTTTCTGAAACAGTGGGAGAAAGGTGTTCAGCAAAATCTCCTGCTCCCTGAACTGCTTTCTGGGGTGTGTGTGTGTGTGTGTGTGTGTACCAGAAATCAAACTAAGGATATTGCATTTGTCAGGCAGGAGTTGCTCCACTGAGCTATATCCTCAGCCCCCTCCCTGAATTTCTGAGAGTTATATATAAATAAGGAACAGGGCAAGGTGCCAACAATCCTGAGGTGGCAGAAAGCAGGGAAGCCTGGGTTTTCCTCTGATAATACCGGGGATATAGAAGGAAAACATTCTCTGCTATAGTAGAGACAGTGGAGAGTAAAAAGAACTGAGTAGTGCAGCCTGGGTCCAGGTCACCAAAATTTAGGCTCCCAGCTCACCAATTTAGAGTTCAGGATTTCTGGACATGTGATTATGATGTCATTAAATCACATCATCATTAAAATAGCAACATATGAAGCAACATGAAACACAAAGCTGCATTAATGCTACAATTCAGTACAAAAAAATGAATGAGTACAATTCCAACAAGATATTTTCAAACTCCAGCAGGATAAAACAGAAATAGAAGTGGACATACTAACATACGAGGATGGCCTTTTAGTTACATCAAAGCACTAGAAGAACAATGAACTACACTGAAGAATATTAACCTTGCACCTCAGCATCGTGAAATATTGGATTTCTTTCCAAGATAAGAGTTTCTTCACACCATTCATGCCATTACAGTAAGTAGATGTTTTCAAGCCATCAAAGTGAATCGATGAAGGCAGATGTGCTACTAAATCTACCAAACAAAATAAAGGCACAAGAAATTCGTATTTTTGCAGCTCTTTAACTGAGCAGATAATGAGCCAACACCTAAACAGAAGCTAGAGTCAGACATCACATGATGAGAACCTATTTTATACACCCCATGCAATTCACATGGAGTCAGTCATTCTCTCTCTTCCTGCACATGAGATCTGAGTTCAGAGATGCAAACTCATTTTTAAATGAAACTGCTAGAAGTTCCCCATCCCCTTCTCTTTCCTTCAGTAAAGTTATCTATATCTCATTTTCACGTAGTACCACAAGTGTAAGATGCAGGGTCTGGACAATTCTTAGACACAAGCAAGCAGAAACCAGCACTAGGTCGGAGAGCAGCTCCTACTTCTTTTGCATTCACTTGTTTGGCAAACGCATGTAGAGTGGCTACACTATGTTCAAAACACGAACTCTCTCTTCTCAGCCACTTATGAATCATTTCCAAGACAACAGATAGATATCTTGAAACATCTAGAGCCACCTACAGCCACCGTCTAACCTTGAGGACCTTACAGTTTAAATGCCAAGACAAGCGTGCTATCATATGGTCTGCTAAATGCTGTAAAAGGATAACTTCATGACATGAAACCAATGAAGGAGGCAGCTTCTGTACATGATGTGCTGTGGCACAGGCCAATTTCCCTACAGGGCACGATAACCAATAAGAAATTCATTTAAGTTTGCGAACTCTTTTTCATTCATTTAGATCTAATTTTTCTTTGTTCTCTTTGTAGTATTTGCTTTTTCTGTAAGTTCTCTTCTCCACATGAAGAGAACTTCCTCATTTGAAATGTAAGGAGGAAAACTACACAGACACACATACGTAGAACACCTTACTTGGAACCATAAAGTACTATATTATTGTTAGTAAATATTTTTTTCTACTTTGGTAAAAATACTCCAGTTCTTATCACCTACTACCAAAGATCCTGGAGAGAAAAGTTTTAAGAAATCAACACAGCACAGAGCCTCAAACAGCACCGCCTCAGTCTTCACTTATCTGTGATATGCTTTGTACCGCTAATATTCTCTATTTCACTGATGAGTCACACTTTTTAGGATATAAACTTGTTACACCAATTTTTCATGAATATTCTTGCAGCTTTCTTCTATATTATCATCGAAAGGACTACGTTTTCCCCTACTTATTGCTACAATAAGCAAACCCGTATTTAAAAATGGAACCCTCTGAGTTTTTAAGTTTCTCAAAGGCAGGACTGTGTATCTTATTCCTCTTTGCATCCAGCATCCCAGAGGCAGGAGATAAATATCTTAATAGTGACTGGAACTGAAACTTGATAATCTTTAGGAAGCCTTGGTCTGTTTCTACGACAAATTTATTAGATATCTGTGCGCTTGGACGAGACCAGCGACACAGGTTACTTAGGGTAGTACGTCTGTAAGCACAGTTAAATTGTGAAAGCTGAATAGAAAAGCCCACTTACCTTGAATGCGGGACTTTAAAAGGAACAACTGAAAGTTGGCATGCCACTAACTTCCATGTCCTCACTCTCTGGCCCGAACCAGCCCGGCCTGGGCCGGCCAGACCCCCCACATACCCTCAGCCCCCTGCGCTCCGCGGCCACAAGCCTCCCGCGCACCGGGCGACGCCACTCTCTCGCCCGCCCGCGCACTCACGCAAATGGTAAGCTTCAGCACGCCATGGTTGTAGTCTCTATATAGTTCACTGGCCTCCTGGTTGCACTCGATACACCGGTACGGGGACGAAGGAAAGTCCTCTTCAGACATTCCCTCTGCGCCCTTCCCGGGTCACTCGCTAGTTGTGTGCAGCCACTCCTCTGGTCCCTAAGCAAGCAGCTTCTGGTCGCGGACGGAAGTCGTCAGGTCGGACCAGCCTGGTTCTTTCCCTGGGCCTGCTGGGAATGATAGGCTGGGTACGGGGCGTGGGCCCGGGGTCAGTGCGGCTGAGACTACGACTCCCGGCAGGCACTGCGCCCGTCCGTCGCGCCCACCTGCTCGCCACGGGCCGAACACCGCCGCGCGTGCGCTGTGCTCGAAGATGGCACCTGCTGGCCGCGAGTGCGGATGCCTCGGCGGCGCAGGGGCTCGGGCGCTGCAACTTGTCTTGCTGCTGGGGGCTCTGGCCTGCGTGTGCGCCACAGAACACTACTCGCCGCTGTCCCTGCTCAAGCAGGAACTACAACACCGGCAGCAGCAGGAGGCCCCAGCGGGCGGCGGCTGTCTGCAATCGGGGGACTGGGCGGACCAGTACCCGGCAGAGTGTGGTGAGTGGGCCGGCGGCCTCAGACAGAGGGGACAGCCCGGGTATGGGCCTGATGTCGAGCGGCTTCCTCAAGGTTGAGTCCCCAGGAAGAGAAGAAGGGAGAGCCTGCGGCATCTGCGCGCAGACCCCCGGCTCGGCTTTGGGACTACTCGTGCCCACTGGTTGCCCCCAGGCCTACAGCTTGCGGGCACTGCAGCTGCACTCGCTGAAGTCTGGCGTTGTTAGGCTGTTCAGTAAATCACTGAAGACGCCTTTGGGCAAAACACGCACATTTTTTCTTTTGAGTTTCGCTGTGGGTTTTTTTACCTTCAGTCCCCATTCTGCCCTTCCCCCAGTGTGGATGCCCTTATGACTTGCTTTGGAAAGGGTGGAGGTCTCCCACTGTATGAACTGGATGGTTGCTGTTCAGACCCATTGCGGTGCTCTTTAACACCGTACACCTGCGAGGACAATATGTCCTTTTTAGCTGAGATGTCAAAATTAGCGCAATCTAATTTCCTTTTGGCTCATTCTGACTTTGGAAAGAGGTCTCACTCGTGGAGAGGTGACGACTTTACTTTATGACAGGCCTTATCTGATAATAGCATAAATACCATAGCCAGCACTACAGCTTGAAAAAAGAGTGGCCATTACCCAAGTGACTTTCAGTGGCGCTGTGAGAATGAATTACTTGTTGGCAAGATTGTCTCTCTGAATTGGAGCTGTTGCCTAAATACAAGGTTTTACTTTTCTCACAAGAGTGGTGTGAGGGGAAGGAGAAATAACCGATGGGTTGTTTGCTGTGTGCCCGGTACTGCTGTAAGTATGCTTAGTCTGTGCCTTGTATACTGGTGTATGAGAAAGGCAGTACCACCTCACTGAATGGCAGTACCTTGTCTGAAGCCCAGTGAACATACCACCTCCCTGAGGTCTAAGCTATAGCGGGAGGAACCTCTATGTCCTCTGCAGACGGTTTTTGTCTTAACCATTTACTGGTATAGTAAGAAAGCACACCTGTGGTGCTCACCCGCATAGCCTTTGTGTTGGGCAGATGTCTTCCTCTCCTCTCCCACGCCAACTCCCCCCACTTTCACTTTCCTCTTCCCCTTTTTCTTCTCCTCTCCTCTCTCCTTCCTCTTCCCTCCCCTTCCTCTCTCCCTCACTTCCTTAGTCATTGGTGATCACTGGCTAGAGGAGACTCAGTTTCTAGGCAGCAGAAAGTCAACTGGTATTCTTCATGCAGGTGGCTTGTTTCATTCTATGTCATCAAGTTTATATGCTAGTAGTGAATAATCCTTGTTTGAATCAACTCTGACTTGTGTGTTGAGATTTTCCCGGGTAATGATAAATGTGGTTTCTTATAAGCAAGACCATTGGAGGAGCCCTTTGATCTGCTGCTCCATTCCCTCACAAATGAAAAACATTGTCTGATGCTCCCTGCTTCAGAGGAGGAAGCCATGAGGTTTCAAACATAATGTATTTAGATATTTTAGTTTTCTTTATATCTACTCCATGCAATGCTTTTTTTTTCTCAGTTGGGATTTAAAATGAGCATTGGAAATGAGTAGCATGTGTCTTCTCAGTGCGTCTTCACACAGCCACCCTTAGCTGGTGTGCATGTCCTTGAGATGTGCAGCTGCACCCAGTCTGCTGGTCATTCTCAGAGCCAACTGCACACTACTTGGGGCTCCAGCCATTTCCTTCAGTGTTACCAGGTCATGTATGTGCCAAAAGCTGTCTCTGTTGCTATAGAGACTTCTGAAAAGCCTCTCATTTCTCCCTCTTTGCCCTGACAGTTATGTAGAAGCTGGACTCCGTGAAGCCTGTCTCGTCCTAGGATGTGAACAAATTCAGGATTTATAGTTAAGCATGTCCTACCTATGGGGTGGGGAATGGGGCAAAGTTATGTTCTCTGTCTCCAGAGCCCCTACATGATTGGCACAGTGGTCTAGATCAGTGCCACTGCCAGGACCTGGGACTGATCAGTGCTACAGAGTCACACAGACCTGATCTCACCACCTGTCAATCTTACCGCTGTCACTTGGCTTACTTGTCTAGCCATAAACCTGTTTGTGTCAAGATCACCTCTGTATGGAGGGCAAGTAGCACATTATGCTTCAGACTGCTTCTTGCAGCTTTCAGATGCAGATGGCTGAGTTGATGCCTGTGTGGGTCTAAATCTAGTAGTAAATCAAGCCACTTTCGGAGTACGTATTATGACAGAACCTCCAATGATTGTAGGTACAAAGATAGCTGCCAGTGGGAGCCACTAGTCCATAGGTATCAGGGAACTGGCTAGAAGCAGCAAGGTATTGTACTACAGCACCATCAAGGGGAATCATGGTCCCAAGGAATCGAGATCCTGTCATCCACTACTGAGGCAGCAAGCATGTCATGGGCCTCAGCTTGAGTTTTTTTTTTTTTTTTAAATTGATACTGGGATTTGAACTCATGACCTCAAATTTGCCAGGCAAGACACTGTGCTGCTGAGCTATATTCCTGCCCTCAGCTTGAGTTTTCTGTGTTCCCTGATCCGTAACTTCATATATATATATATATAATAAAACTAAATTCTTCCTTTCTTTATTACCTTGACTAGTTTTAGTTTGCCATTATGGAAGGAGATAACGAACAGAAGTTTTCCTGCAACTCTCCCAGTTTTCCTGTGACATACAGTGATTATAAATACTCTGCATTCCCTCAGTGCTGATGATGCTGTTTGTCTCCACTTACCCAGAAGGAAAATAAAGCAGAGAAGTTACACAAGGTTGAAATGTAAGGAACAGAGTCTAGATTTGAATCTGACCTCCTATTTGTATATCTTCAGTAATATTTGCATATTGATATGATTTCTTACTAACATTAACACATTCACCTCAGGGCCATAATTTGTATGTCTTCCTTCCAGATGACTTGAACCGCAATGGCCCATGTATCACTGTTCCATTGGATGACTTTATTTTTTATTAGTAAAAGACCTATAAATGTGGTTAGATCATTCATACATCAGTGGTAAAAGCTGCCTTATGGGACAGTCATGCCTGTACCCCTGTAGTTCAAGCCACCTGGCAGGAAGACATAATTGTTTAAAAATACTTGTGTTTTTGAAAATGTGCTGATAATCAGAAGAGTGAGTTTATATGATTTTTTTTTTTTTAAACTAGCAGGCTTTTGGCTGCTCGGAGGTGACAGTCTAGTACTTGATGCCTTAGGGTAGTTTCAAATAGCCGCCTACATCCCAGTGGTGATTCGTGTGGATGTATGTTGAATGCCTCAGTCAACTTGAATGATTAATTTACAGCCTTAAATAATTTTCTTTGGTTCGTTAAAATGAATAGTTCCAGAACTGAGATTATTTTCTCTTCTTAAAATTTTTTTGTGGGAAGAGAAAGAGCATTTAATGTCTAATTTTGACTGCAAAAGTAAGCACCTGAATGGTGTCTTGGTTAGTGAGGAGTGGGTCATTTAAATACAGGAAGTTGATCTTGCCCACAAAACACAGAAGTTGCTGTCCCAGAGGCAATGAGTGGGTCATAAATAGAAGAAAACTTGTGTACTGAGAACTGTTTCCTTTTTGGTTCTTGGAGGAAGTTAACCAAGTTTTGTGTTCTGTGGAAATATTGTAAGAACCTCTTCTTTTAGAGATATGCCCTGTCTTTTCTCTGGGTTAGTTTTTTGTGTGTGACCTTCTCTGTTTTTTGTTGTTGTTGTTTTTTTGGTACTGGGGATTGAACTCACAACTTTGTGTTTGCCAAGCAGGTACTTACGCCACTGAGCCAAACCCCTGGCCCTCCTTCTCTGGTTTTATGAGGGTCTCTCCAGAGCTCTTCTTCAGGGCTGACTGGTGGCAGTTCCCAGGTAAGAGACTGAGGCCTGAGGGAGGAGAGAGCTGTCCACTGGCATCACTGTGGATTTTTCTCCTGGAGACTAAATAGCATTTTTGAGAAACTGGCCTGGTTTAGTTACAAGTAGCATTTGAAGTGCAAGCTCTGTGAGGAGATAGCCTGTGATATTTGTAGACCTGTTCAGTTGTCACAGATATCTATGTCACTAAAAATTAAGTTACCTTTGAGATAGTCTAGGTACTACCAGACTTGCGATATGGGTTGATTTTTTTGGTTTTTGTTTTGTGAAATAGGGCTTCATTATGCAGTTTAGGCTTACCTTGAACTCAGTCCGGGCTGGCTTTGAACTCAGGGCAATCTTCCTACCTCAATATCCTGAGTACTGAGATAACAGGCATGCATCACTATACTGCTATCGTGAACAGAAACATCAAAACAACACCCAGGATTTGTAGGCAATCAACAGGCATTGATTGTGATCACTCCCAACTCTCAGGCCCCAGTCTATGGAGGTCTAGGCCTTTTATACAATACATAAGCAGAAGGTATAAAGGCAAGGCAAATCAGTCTGGCAGTTCCTCTGATTAGTTAACGGGTTAAGATCATTGGTTACAAGACTGGATTAATGGTCATGAAGCTTGGTACAATCAGGCATTCAGCATGTTTGGTTACACTCTTGTGGCTACAGGGGTCAGGAAAGTAATTACAAAGCCATGAAGCAGAACAAAGTTTTAAAAAGAACAATTTCTCTTGTACAGATTTTCCCCTTTTAATACC